CGAAGAAGCCACCGTCACACTTTTATTTCCCTGCTTTCTCCAATTTCTCATTCTTTACTGCTTTCTTTTTCTTAATCCTTTTGCAAGCACACCATTTAAGGAAACTGTAAACCCTATACTATACATTCAATTACACATTAAATATGACTTTAGATTTTATACTTAAGCAAAATACAAAGTCTCCCTAATATTATCATCCAGTAACTTTAAAAATGTACAATAAATTGTCAGAATACTAAAATACAAATGCTGTGTTAAAAGTAACATAAGATCTCTGTAGACTTCATAACTAAAGCTTTGGCACAGACATTTTTTAACTTATTTTGTTTAATTATTTATTTAATAACCACATGATTAGAAGAAGCATTTCATTACAGCCTTAGTGAATTCAGTAACAATTTCCAGAGCAAAGATACATCACACAGACATTTAAAAACTAGAATTGATGGCACTAAAATATCCCACAGTCAAGACAGCAACATTTGAAGTTTTGTAGGATATCAGATTTAGTGCCCCAAATTCTTGGTTTATACTTTCTCCCCAAAAATTTGGCAACTTGTGGAAGGTACCAGGCCATATAATGCCCAAGGGGTCTTTAATTACACAAGTGACATATAGACTATCAACTATGGATTTTCTGAAGTTCTACAAGTTACAGAGTTGGACAAGAGCTAATCAAGCAAGATGTTCTATATCCCCCTGCCTCTGCCTCTTCAGGATATCCAACCAGCATGCACCACCGCTACCGGCTAATCAAGCAAGGTGTTTTAAATTGCCTATAACCCTCACCTTCCTCCCCACTTCCTCCTCCTCCTCCTCTTTCCTCTTACAACTATTAATTAAAATAGGCACAATAGCTCCATGTTAATGTGAAAATCCTGTATTTTAAGTGTGATGAGTTTGCTACATTTAAGTACAGTGCATGATATACTATAAAAAGGAAAATAAGCTCAAAGAAGCTTTCATGGTGAGTATAATGAATCATGTTTACTCAAAAGTTACCACAGGTGCAACATTTGTCCTGGCATTTTCCCAGCCAACTCATGACCAGTGGTCCTTCTTCCTGCAGCTACATGGAGTGTCTACTGTCCATTGTCATGGCAGTACAAAATCCCAGCATTCCACATGGCCACTCCTCCTTACTTTGTATGTAACTAGTATTAAAGCCTGAGTTTGTGTGTAGGACTTACTAGAAGATTCAGACATGATCCCATAAAAGCAACTGCTGAGAACAGTAAAGCCCATTATTCCCCTCCCACTGTTGGCCAGGGTCAGCATCCCTGTCATTAACCATGTCATAACATAATTGTATTAGTAGTCCTTATGTGGGCAGATACTGAGCAATAACTGAACGCATCACATCATTGTAAAAATGAAAAAGTGCTGTGTCTCTGTCCTATTTTAGCATAAAATCAGTGAAAACCATCTTTAGAAATGACACTGCATTACGAAAATGAAAGCAGCTGTTATTAGTCTGTAGGTATATGTTTAAACTGATGATTTGACATCTTCAACTAGAACAAAAAAATAGGACTATATTTTGCTACTGAACTCCAGTTGAGAACTCATTTAATCCTATTTCTTTGGGTAACATTCAGTTCAATTAAGGAATATATTGTTACTTAAAATAGACTAATTAGATGAAATTCCACTCCGGTACCCATCTTTCAAGTCTGCAATAGAAACTGTGCTTTCAGTTACAAGAAGTGAGCACTGTTCCCTCCAGTCTGCATGTTTCTGGCCAGTCTCTGGGCTCCATTGCTCTTTCAAAAAGTGACCTACATAAAGCCAGCACTATGCCACCAGTTGTGGTGGTTTGTATACAGGAAGGGATGCCTTCCACACTTGCCATAATTGACATCAGTCACATCGATCCCCCAATAGACTACGTGAAAATGAAGGTCAGTTTCACCATGATGTATTCATAATGTGCAGTGCTCTTACAATAGAGCACTGGGCTAAACTGTCTCCAAATGTGCCTCCTACAGAGTTTATTGACTGAAAAATCCAGGGAGTGTTTTGGCAATGGACAGAGCAGCAGGGCTGGGAAGTCCTCAGAGTAAAACAACCACATTTCCATTCAGAAAAATTCAGAAAGAGGATATTCATTTTTCTCAATTAGGCACTCTTCTGATGTTGAAAAGTATCATAGGAAAACTATATTTACTGTTGTAACACACTAAAACACAGAAAGGTACTAGTTCTACTGGGATTTAGCATACCAACCTTACATAGTAAAGTGCTGACAGGTTAAAATAAAGATAATTAGTAATTTATGATCTTATCACCCTAGTAAAAACAAATAACTTGACAAAGTGACCATTGTTTCCAATAAACTACACATTCATTACAGCTCAGATGACAAGGGTTACTTTACAGTCTTGTCTGTATTAGTAAGTCTGATCCAACTTGGGTTTGGCTAAATATAGATACAGATTTCTTCACCTTTTTCAAAGTTCTGCCTTTCTTCCACATCTCGGCGCATCACTTAAGACACTGTAACAAGGAGTACTAGCTGACTAAACCCTTAAACCCTAAGTAACAGAAACAGTGGAATTGGGCAGGAATTTTATACCCATGCAAATCACGATGGAGTAGGAAACACAAGTGCCTGGGCTTTGTGGGGCCTTGAAACCCTCTCAGTATATTTAATACAATCAAAGTTCAGGGACAAATATATTTGATAGACTGCTACTCAGGGCTGGGCAGGAGAAAAGTCTCTGGAGAAATATCTCCTTGAGATCTTTCCCTACTAGCAGAAACAAGAAAAAAATGACTTTGCATTTTTAAAAATCCATTATTCCCTGGATAAGTTAAATAGAAGACTTGCAACTAGTCTATAGAAAGGACAGCTAATTTGCATTTAAAAAGAACAGTTTGCTTCTTATACACAGTGTGACTTAAAAAGAACTTCAATGAGCAAGTAAAGAAATAGTGAAGACTTTCAAAATTAATTTATTCAATTCACAGCACAACCCACTAAAATTATTTAAGGCACTTAATTGGAAAATGATTTAATATATTGAAGTAATTCCTGATTTTCCAAAGCATTTAACTTTTAAATTAAATCTGACCCTACTATCACATGAAAGAGAAGTGAAATGTGTATTCAAGTCATTACCTTCTTTTTGAAGCCTAAAATCACTGATAAATTTAATAAGACTTGTCCAGTTTCATCGCCAACATAGTTCTGATGTTTTAGTTCCGGTAACAACTATGGAACAGATTTTTAATCTCCAAAACAGAGATGATATTTTTAAAAAATTAACAGTATTCTTGTTTTAGCAAAATTAAAAGTGATAAACACACAATCTTGCGTTTTAAAATCAGACGTATTTTTATTTTAGACTACAAGAATGTTAACAGCAAATAATGAAACTTCATCGCACAAACTCTTTCGTGCCTGCTAAAGTTTCCAGCACCTTTCAACCTGCCCCTGGCAAAGGGCTCCTGGTATGAGGGAGTCTTTCTGGTTTTGCTCTCTTCTCTAACTCCTAACCTCATCCTCACACATTGCAGGCCTTTCAGTGAATCTTACAGTGGACATGGCACCCACTTGTTTCTCCACGGGGTGATGTCTGAGGTTCACGTAACTCACAGCTCTCTCTCTCTCTCTCTCTCTCTCTCTCTCTCTCTCTCTCTCTCTCCTCTCTCTCGTGTGTGTACGCGTGCGCGCGCGCGCGCGTGCGTCCGTGTGTCCCTATTGACCAAGACTTGGAGCTATGAGTTTGTCGCGTGGTAGGGAGTCCAGGGTCCCAGGGTGCAACCCGTTAAACATCTATGCATCACGTTTAAAAGCTATTTGGTGATGACTCCCCACAACACAAACGTTAAGAGTTCCAACCATTTTCCCCCGTGGAATTCTCCGACGGGTCGGCGTGAAGTGTTCGCAGGGACTGAAAGAATCCGGTGGGTTTATCATCAAGCTAAAACTGGGCGTCTAGAAGGCCCGCCACGCGTTTCAGAGACTCTCCCTGCCAACCTCAATCCAGCCCGGACTGCTTAGACCCGTCCAGCAAGCCGGCGGCGAGGACAGCCGTGGCCTGCGGCTGCTCCTGGTAACAGATCCCTGTATGTCCTCTGGCTCTGGGACTTGCGTGCTAGAAACCAGGAGAGTCACACCTTCCCTGGGAACCCGCGACTGTCCTACCCATGGGCCGAGCTCAGCTCCGGAGCAGCTCCGGCAGGCGCCCCCATTTCGGGTCAGCATCATGGAACGCCTTGCCCCGCGCCCGGTGACCCTGGCAGCCCTGGTCACAGGCTTTGATCTAGCCCCGCCAGGGACCCTGCCTCTGCCTGGTGTTGCGTGCCACAGCTTTGCACTTGAACGCGACGCTCTAGCCTGGTTTTCAACAAACTTGCAATTTCCACGCACCCCAAACCGGAGCTGTCCCCCTAAATCATGACCCTAATAGCCCACTACGCCCTGGGCCACCCGGGTCAGCGTCGGAACTCCGGGCTCTGCCTCCCGAACAGGTCAGGGAAAACAAAAGAGTTGTGGAATAATTTTCACGGTGGGGGACCCGGGTGCCTCCGGGGTCCTGGTACCCCGACTCCCGGCTGCTTCCCCTGGCAACTAATCCCGAGTAAGGAAGCGATGGCACAAGTCCCCGCCGCCCGAGAGGAGGGAGAAGGAACTAGGAAATAAACTGAATTCTGACTCTGCCTCAGTTCCCGGACCCCAGACACACCCCCAAAGTATTCCGTGGCTTCTCTCTCTTTTTTTTAACCGCCGCCAGCAAACCTAGGCAGGGATCCTTAGTCCGAACCGCAGGAAGGAAGGAATGCGAGCAAAGCGTGTCACTTTCCGCACAATCGCGGTGTTTGGCAGACCCCCGGAGCCGCTGCGGTGACTCCCCCGCGAGCGCACTGAGCGCTGCCGCGGACCCAGCGCGCCCGGGACCCGCGTCCTGCAGCCGCCGGTCCCCAGCGCGGCCCGGCCGCCCCCCTCCCGGGATGCCGCCGCCGGAGTACCGAGCAAACAAAAGCAGAGCGTTCACCTTGTTGCAATAGTAGGGGTCCAGGCAGGGAGAAGGTCCCAGACAGGGAGCGTCGGGCGCAGCGGCGGGCTGGGCTGGAGGTGGATAAAATCTTACGTCCATTTCACTCTCACATCAAGCAACTCCTTTTCTTTCCCTTTCCGAAAAAAAAAGTGCTCAGCAAAAACAAGCTTAGAAGGAGCAGAGAGAGGTGTCTGGGCTGAGGAGTAAAAGAAACACCTTCCTTCCCTCACATCCGTTTGTGGTTTGTTTAAGAAGAGGAAAAAAAAGAAAGAAAAAGAAAAAAAAAAAAAAAGAGGGGGGAAAGCGCTCAACTCTCCCCACGCCGCGGCGCGCACCCGCGGGCCGAGCGCAGCCTGCTCCGCTCCCCGTGCCGCCCGCAGGTAACTTCAGGCGCCGGGGGCCCCCTCCCGCCCCATCCCCGCCTCCCGCGCCCCTCGCCGCCCGGCAGTGGCGCTCGGGCTCGAGGTACTGGGCGTTTTATTGGAGACTCTGACTTGCTCTGCTTTGAGTTTTTCTCCACGTTAGAGGCCTGGGGTGGGGGAGTGAGGAGACCGGGAAGAAGAGCGGGTGGAGGGGACCAGCGCCCCGGGTCTGGAGGGGTACTGATCGCGGGGGGAACGCTGGCAGCCTGCACCCCAGTGGCTGTGGCCGTGGGGAGGCGGAGTGGGCGAGAGAGCCGCGGAGGAGCGGAGCGCGGCCGGCCGGGCAGGGGCTGCGGGACCCCGGGGAGCCTCGGCGGTGCCCTGGTCAGCCTCCCGGGGCGGGTACGTGGAGGTGGGTGAACGCACACAAAGGGGCTGGCGCGCGGAGCAGCGGAGGCCCGGGGCACCGCGGGGAATGCGCGGCAAGGGGGCGCTGTGGCGCACCCCGCCCGGCGGCCCCGCGCCCCGCCCCCGGCCCCACCCATCTCCCAGCGCCCCCACCTCGCACCCCTCCTCCCTCCCGACCTCCGCCGCTGCACGGCCATCCTCTCCTCCCCGCCCAGGGAAGGTGGCTTTGCCTGGCTGCCGCAGGGAGCCCTCTCTGGGAGCTGTGAGTGGGCAGTAGTCCAAGGGCCCAAGTTGATAGCTGGCCGGGGAGCTGCGCTCCCTGGGGTGTGGTACAGACGTGGGATTCCCTTGAGCCTCTGGGTCCTCCCTCCATCCTCTGCCATCCCTACTCCACTGAAGTCTTTGTAGGATAAGCCTGCCCTGGGGACTCACAAAAAGCCCCCAGGGCGCTTGGAGGGGTAAATAAGGAAAAAGTTATCTGCACACCGTTGGGCTAGAGGGAAAATATCTGGGTTTATTAGTTGGCCCTTAGGGATTTCTCCTTTTATAGCTGGGCTCCCAACAGTGCTCTTAACAGTCCGCCTCACTCCCCATTTCTCAGGTTGATAAACTGATAAGCCGGATAAGGTTATCACCCATATCTTCCTGCAGCCAGGAAGCTTGCAACTTCGTATCTCATGGAAGTTGGGACAGTTTGGGGACTCTTGGTCACTGACCAGCAGATTCTCCTGCTCCCCCAGTGGAAAATCTGAGGGATGTCAAAGCGGGGATGGACAAGTTTTACTTTGTCAATAGTGAGCGCCTCACCTCCACTACGACGTGTGCCTAACGCCCTGCAAAGAAGCCAAAAGTTCATTTCCACTTGTTTCTGGCCCCAAGGAGTGTACTGAGGCGATTGTGCAACCCTACACCCTTTAGGCACGTGATGGTGGTTGGCAACTGCTCTGTACTGTTTTCCCTGCTATCTTCTGCTGTACAACTCAAGGGCAGGGATCTGGGGAAACTATGGACACTGTGTAAGGATGATAAATTAGCATCCTTAGGCCTCTCTTCCAAGAAAGTCCTTTTGGAACCTTTCCTGGATCATTGCTCGGCCTTTTTCTCTTTGATTTAAGTAGCAAGAATACTGCTTCTTACCTTCAAGAGTAATGTGGTGGAGGTTGGGGTGAGAAGAAACCTCAAAAAAGAAGTCCACTCAATATTTAAAGACTTTGGGGCACAAAATAAGAGATAGAACATGTGATCTCTCTCCTAATAAAGATCTTTATAATAAAATTTACATGGTTTTCTGGTTTATAACATTGACTTTCAAAATTGCAGATTTTAATATATATATTTCCAGAATAATACAGAAACCCACAACTGGCCAATGTGCCAAGAACAAGCGGCTTATCCCTTAGGGTGCTTATTCCTAAGTGGAGCATCTATTTCAAAATTCTTCCTCCCAAAGCTTGGAGAAGACAGGGTAGAAAGATTTTAAGAGGAAGAACCAGTGGTCATGGTGTGGGGGATGACCACAAGAAATCGAGTTTTCCAGACAGCTACTCAGTTACTTACATGAACTTACAGCAGTGTGACAGCGTGCACAAGTCCCATGCAAGCTCAATCCTGACAAAATCCCAGCATAGACATGGGGAAAGTGGTTAAGAAATCCCATCCCAACCTAAGGAATTTATGGTAACCTAGGGCTGCTGGGAGCGGGAGAGACAGTCTCTTTTAAGGATGGCAAGTTAACCAGGCCCCAGTGGAAGGACCCACACTGAAGACTTTACAGTATAGTATATAGAGTACATTAAATTGGGTGTGGGCAATAAGGGTAGATGCAGATAGGGGAGGGAATCTAAACGCCATCAAATTATATTATAAGAAAATCTCAAAAATTCAATTAAAAAATTGGTAAAGACAGGCCAAAAAAAAGTTTTTAGATTTAAATGAAACATAACTAGGCTTAAGTTCTGTCACAACTGCCATATGACATCATCAAAAGCTTGATTTTTAAAAACTTTCTTTGGACTCAAAATTGATTTCTGCTTGATGCTGTGAACCTGGGGAAAATGGAATGGTTACAGCTGGATTAGCATCACTGTCAATGTCTTGACCCCTTGGAGATACTGATGTCTCATACCCACGTTCTTCCATCACCATTATGAAAACCAAAATGCTTGGGACCTGTGTCTTGTCACTGTTAAACAGTCAACAGTCTAATTTCTTCCACAGAGAGTATGTGGAGTCAAAGTAGGATGCTTGTTCTTTGCACAGTGAGGAATACAATCGATTAAGGAAAAGCTCTGAATCATAAGAAATCCAAACACTAAATCATGTTTATCTCAGTATATGGATAAAAAAAAATAACTCACAGCTCCACAATGCCCTATGTAATCATATTAAATGAATATGTTCTGTTCCACTGGAGGAAAAGTTGAGTAGCTAATCCTTGGAGTAAATCTTACTCTAAAAAATAAAATAGTTGTCTTCATAGCATGTTAAATTTACTCATTTTATCTGTCCAGTCATTCATTTGTGTAGTATTAAGTAAAGAGAGAGAGACACACACACAAAGCTATGTATATAGTGTTGAAATATAGAAACATATCACTTAAAACTGGGCATAGCAAGGAAAGTGAACCAACCTACTTAGACATTCATCAACAGATGAATGGATAATGAAAATGTCCTATATGTACACAGTGGAATTTTATGTAGCTGTAAAAAATGAATTCATGATATTTTCAGGAAAATGAATTGAATTGAAAAGTGTTATACCAAGTTAACTCAGAAAGACAAAAAAAGCACGTTTTCTGTCATATGTGGACACTAGCTTACAGGGTTTATATGATGCACATGATTGGGAATGGATGTGGATGTAGGCTGTGAAACCAGAAAGGAGACCGTGGGATGGGAAAAAGATGCATGGAGGAAAGCTGGGAGTGCAGTGAACACACAAGACAAGAAACAAGGGAAAAATAAGAAAGGAGGGAGGAAGGGCCCAAGGAGGGAGGGTCAGAGGTGTGGGAGGACGTGGAGGCAGAGGAAAAGCGACAAAAACAAAGTCTTGTTTGAAAATGCCATAATGAAATATAATCTTTTATATGCTGATTAAAAATAATTAAAACAAAAAATCAGACACAGTGACAGGTACCTTTAGCCCTAGCTCTCAGGAGGTAGAGTCAGGAGGCTCTCTGTGAGATCAAGGCCAGTCTGGTCTACATAGTGAGTTCCAGACCAGCTAGAGCTGCATACTGAGACCCTGTCTCAAAAATGCTATTTTTTAAAAAAGGATCAGAAGTTCAAGGTCATCCTCAACTAAGTAGAATGTTGGAGGCTAGCCCCCAGGCTAGCCTATACAAGGGACCCTGTCTCAAATAAATTAAATGAATAAACAATAAATAAATAAAATTATAATAAATAAAACACATTACTTAAAGTGGTTCCTCCTCTAGACGAGCTTATAGTCTTAAAAAATATTTTATTTATTATTTTATCTTATGAGTGTATTGCCTGTATGTATGCAAGTGCACCTATGTCATAAAATGCCAGTGAAACTGGAGTTACTGATGGATAGTTGTTAGCTACCACGTGTATGCTGTGATTCAAACCCAGGTCCTCTGCAAGAGCAGTCAGTGCTCTTAACTGCTGAGCTATCTCTCCAGCCCCTAAGCTTGGAGTCTTTGGCATAGTCTTATCCTAATTTGTTCTGTCTGCGGAGTCATCTTAGTAGTTTTAAAACATGCTCACACCTGCCTACCATGAATTCTGATTTCATTTAGAGTTGGACCTGGTCATAGGAATGGTTAAAAGCTTTCCACTGGTTTTAAATATCAGGAATGACAGAAAACAATCATTCTATAAGAGATGATAAGATGAGCAAAATGAAATTATAAAGACATACATTTTATTAAGTAGTCAAGGCTGTCATTTTGTGTTGGTCCTCACAAGGTGACACCCAAGGATTGTACTTTGTAAAGGAAAACGTCACATGCCATGCCCATTCAGCAATGAAGTTCTACACTTTATTCAGTTTCTCTAAGTAAACATGCATGAGTTATTGTATAAATTCAGGATATGATTAATTCATAGGTGTTAGGAGCTTCCCATACTCTAGCAGAATATGTGTGTCTATGAACAAAGTCTTTCCTTTTGAACATTAATGTCATAATACCAATACTTATGACTTTCAAAATGTCTACTATGTCTTAGACCTGCTTTTAATATTTTTACATTTAGTTTCACAGTCTCATTTAATTTTGTAATTAGCATTGGAAAAAGGACCTAACCAATAATTCCACAGCACCTCCAGCGTTTGATTGTGTGGCCTCAGCATCACTCGTTCACTTTAATCGTAGTTTCATAAACTGTGTCTTCAAGTTTGCAGATGTCTTCACTGATCACATTTCATGTTTGCTGATTATTCTTCTATTATGTAGGCAAGCCCTAAATAGTAAGTAATGTCTCCAAATCACATACACAGAATATATAACTTTGGGGAAAATATTCTCTAGACAGCTATTTTTTTTTTTTCTTTTTTGAGACAGTGTCTCCCTGTAGCCCCAGCTGGCCTGAAACTCACCATGTAGACCAGACTGGCTTTGAGTTTACAGAGATCTGCCTGTTTCTGCC